CGTTAAACAGAAATGGTACCAACACTGAGCCCTGAGGCACACCACTTGTGACCGGCCACCAGCTGGATTTAAATCCATTGAGCACCACTCTTTGGGACCTTCCAGTCAGCCAGTGCTTGATCCAGCGGATTGTATGCTCATCCATTCCGTCTGAAGCCAGTTTTTCCATGAGAAGGCAGTTTTTCCACGAGAGTACAAGTAGCTCTCCACTGGCATGGGGAGACAGCAAGGACCAAATTCCTATCTCAAATGCTGATTGCAGCACAGGCTGGAAAAACATGCTGTCCATCAAGCAACCAGTAATGGGTTTGAACGACATGAATAGCTACAGAAAAAGTCCACGCTGAGATGTCGGTTGACCAGAACTGCTCAGGAATTGCCTTGCTTTCTGAACCTCAAACAGTACCAGCAATGATTCAGCCAGGCCAACCCACAAGCACGCAAACTGCTGTTTTGGGGAATGGCACCTTGGTTCTAGACCGGCACTTCTCACGAAACCATCCATCTAAAAAAGACTCTACTCAGATAAGAATGCCCTGATTGAAATTACTTGTCCACGTCAGATAGCAGAGACACGACCCTCTCACAGCCTCCACAACACTGTTCTCACCACTGCACTGGATCTTCTGAGCTGCAACCAGCGGGTGTCTCTTCCTCTCTCTCAGTTTTTTGGGAAAACCCTCCAGAGAAGCTGTGCTCAGCCAAATGCAGCAGGAGACATTTTCTAATCACAGAAGATTTGTGGGGCAAGGAAACAACCTCTGGCACAGCTCACCTCCACCACAAAGATTTTACCAAGGAAGAGCTATGACATAAAGCTTGTCATGTGCATCGTCAAAAACAGCAGAAGTGCTCAGTACCCTCCATCATGAGGTAAGTTGTCCTGGGTCATCATCAAGCCGCTGTTCCTAGACTTCTTGGGGTCCTTGGCAGATGGAGGTTCACATTTACGGTCTTCTAGCTCCTACATTAATACACAAAAAACCATAAATCTACAGAAGATAAAACAGGAAATTACTGGTTTAAAACACAAGTTATAACCAGGATCACTGCTACCAAGCAAGGCTTAGGAAAACAGTTCATAACTTAGAGAGGGAGACAGACCAGAGCATCAGTGATGTCTGCTATTGGTTGTCAATAACCCAAGGCAGGTTAGAGGTGCTACCATAATGGTCAGCAGTGTGAAAGCCTGAATTCATTGGTCTTGAGCACAAATGAGAATAATGCAAACTGGTAGGGAACAAGCCTTTTCAAAGGGAACAGCGGGAAACTTTTAGACTCGCTGCAGGTTGGCCTATTGTGTTGGGAGCTAATTTGCTTCACGATCATTCTCCCTATTCCTGCACCAAGGCACATTACTTTCTAGAATGTAAATGGCAAGGAATGAAAAAAGCAATAGGGATGATTTTCCACTGGATGCTGAATTCACAAAGCTTCTTCCAGTGCCACAGTGTGTGACAGCAGGGCAGTATTCCCAGAATACAGCCAATAGATATACTAATGATTGCCTTGTGCATCTTTTGGATATTTGGAATTTTTCTTTGCACTACTACTTCCTTCGTCTCCTGCGAAAGCCTCTATTATGTTCACAAGCACTATTCTCACTTCCTTGCTTTATCAGGGAGGGATGTGGGGGTGGTGTTGGGGTTTTTGTCCTTGAAAGTAAAACCATTTTCTCCTACTTCCCTTTCCTGTTTCTGGCTGATATTCAAAATACACCCACTTTATTTCTAACCATTACTAGTTCCTTTCACTGTCTGCAGATAAACAGGCTAAGGATCAACAGTTCATTCCCAGGAGCAAAACGATTCAGCAGCAGAAGAATGAGATAAAGAAAGATTAGGTATGTTTAAGCTCATATTAGCAATCTCAGTACTTGCATAAAGGAGACATTTCTCCTGCCAAGCACTTACTTTCTTAATTGCTGCCATAACATCCTCCAGGTCACGTGAGGGGACAGACCGTTTCAAATACCTATCAAATTTCCGATGACTCATCAATATAGCCAGCATCTTCCGTCCATAACGCCTAACACAGGAAAGAGAGAAACAAATGACTGTTTTTTCTACAGACTATAAGTGTCTTTTCTCCCTAGCCTTTTGAATAAACAAAATAAAAGTGTTAATAAAATAAGCTGATATTTTAAACTCGTCATGTGCAATACCTTCATGAGAAGGCGTTACGTATTCACCATAGAGAGATATTTACCTCCACTTACGGCCACTGCACAATGCTGCCAGCTGACCACAAGAGGCAGGTGGAGAACATGGGGCAACAGGAAAATACAATTTCACTTTGAAATTGTGGGTGGGTACACTTCTGTGGGATCACAGGATGCTGTGGGATGAGCAAAGCACATCCGCTTTGCTGTCATGGCTTATTTGCAGTGTCTTGCTGCCATTGCATTGCATAATAATTTACCTTTCTTTAACTGGTGGAGAAGCTAGGACAACTCACCTTGTGCTTACTATTGATTATCCTGTCCTACATATATGCATACAGGCAGCTAGTTGCTCAAGTGTTCTTGCCATCTATTAATGGGAATGTAAATTAATAAACAAAGCAAGGATGTTTTTTTGTTTGGTTTTGCTGCTGTGAAAATACAGCTGTCTTCAAGAGGAAACTGGGAGTTCATTCAGCCGCAGACAACAACATTATACAATGATTGGGAAGAAAACTTTGTGGCTACGTAGGCAACTAAATCCGTAGAAGGGATTTAGAAAGATTGAATGTATTGGTTAAAGGCACCTGGATTTTTTCTGGGACAGTCTTAAACTTGCCAGAAATAAATGTTTGGGATCCTTCAGTGATGAACAGTGGCCAACACTTCAGCTTTGCAACGTGCACGTAAGTCTGACCAAAATTTTTTGACTGGCTAATCTGAGCTCAGTTGATCTGAATAAAGAATTATTCAAGTCGCAGGAATTCGGCAATGGTCCTTCTTGCTGGACACCTTCACGTTACCCAGCACAGTCATTTCCCCAGGCAACATTAGCCACACTATGAAGCAACTTTCTTAATATTGGCTTTACCTTGTGCTCTTTTGTGGTTTTATCATTTATAGCCAGGCATCAAACAGTTTTGAAGTTTTAGGAGGTGAAATAAAGATCATCACCTTGTGTCCTGATGACAGTCCTGAGCAAGCTTCACCAGCGTGCGCACCAGCAACTCGGTACTGGCCGGCGCGGATGACAGCAGCTTGCGGGCTTCGATTTGCTGCATTGCGGTCAGTAGGTGCTCAGCCGCACACTTCCGCACCAGGACGTTGCGGTGCCTGGAAACAAGAGAACAAGCACTGAGGAGAGGGAAAAGGAGGGCCAGAAGCACAGGCCTCGGTCACAGCATGCTCCCTGTCATTGCTGGGCAAAGGAGGCACATGCTCTCGCTGCAATTTTAGCCAACTGTAGAAGAGTCTGTCCTGAGGTAAACACAAAGTTGGCATTGTACAGACAGCCTACCTGCAAGGAAGAGGGAGGAACCCAGTCTACCTGCACTCAGCTGATACTCAATTTCGTTCCTGAAATTGACTCCGAGAAAGAGGAAAGTAAAAGACAATTCATTCTGACTCATCAGAGGCCTCTCGCTCTACAGACAGAGCTGCAGCAGGATTGGGGCTTATTCCACCTGTTTACCTCTAAATCTGCAGACCCTTGAAAAAAGATCAAATGGGGGGAAAACCCCTGTGGGGCATGAAGCTTCAGAATATCCAGCAATGCAGCCAGTTTGTTCTTTGAGGCTCGGCAAGAGGTACATTTGAACATTTGCTTCAGCTATCACATGGGAGTCGGCCTCTGAAGGCGCCCATAAAATGACTCACCATCTCAAGGCTAACGTGCAGAGTCAATTTGAATAGAAAGTAGAACACTAAGGACATGACGGTCAGACGGGCTCTTCTCGGCAGGAGCCGCGTCTGCTGAGCAGGCTGTGCCGTACCCAGAGGGTTCTCCCGCACGTGCGCCATGTCCCAGCAATTAGCCTCCTTATTTCTCACGTTAATGGCGTAACGATGATGCAGGGTTTTTCCCAGCACCTCTGTGCTTAGCATTGCGAAATATCAAGGGGCGCTCACGGCTGGAATTGCCATTGTCCCTCTTCCCGCAAAGCCACAAGGCTGTATCACCACCCTTTGCAGGGACTTTCTCTTCCCCATCATTCACCACGTCTCGGCAGCATTGACGGACTGTGAGAACAAACAGGCTGCAGTAGGGCAGAGGTAGATGACCAGAGGAAGGGAGTGAGGTTGATCAGAGCATCTAATCACCAAGTTCACAGAAGATGGAGGACAAAGGACCCTTCCCTCCCATCGTTCCCCTTCTGCCTCCCGGCCCTTCCTCCAACCCACACAATTTAAGGTGATGGGTACCACTAAGAGAAGAACAACATACTGGACTCCACTAGCCATGAGAGCAGTCATCGCTCGCCCAGGAGTCACGCTCTCCACCATGATCCCCAGGGATCGACTGGCTGCTTTCTGAATGAACTCGTTGGTGTCCCCCATCTTATGGAGCAAGACACGAGCAGCCTCATCCACTTCGTGGTCCATGTGCTTCTTCATGGTTCTGAAGAGCTCTCCAAGAGTGCCGATGGCATAGCGAGACACCTTTGAGCGCAGGTTGTTCACCTGAGGAAGTCATGAGGAGAAACATAAGAATAACCTTGTAAAGAGAATCAGTTCCCCTAGACAAAAGGCCCAGGAAACAACAAGGCTTCCTGCTGCGTCCAAGTGGAACAGAAGAGCACGGTAAGAGCAGAAGACCACCAGTACAGAAGCCCACGTACTCTGACACCAGCTCCTTCTCAGGCCTCAGGCCTGCTTGTACAATACAATTTTAATGAGACTGCAGGCCTAAAAAAATAGTTGCTTCCCCTAGAACAAAGTGTGCTACTTAGCCCATAATGTGCACTGCTGTGACTTTTCGGCCTTTCTATTGACAACCAAAAAAACTAAAGCAAGGGCTGTTTTTAAGCGATAAAAAAGTGCCAAGTTGGAAATATAGCCACATATATTAAGGAGCTTCGGTTGAGAGCTCTCTGTTAACTGAGAGATGAGACAGTGAAGCTGTGTGCAACTGCCCCGCAAATCCCACAGCGGGCCGCTCCAAGCACCCAGGGGCTGCCGTGCAAAATTGAAACGGTGCACGGAGGCAACAGATCAATGGAAAGGGCAAATTGCCCAAAAGCACACAGAAAGGAAGAAGGAGAAGACACCATCAGGAAACACTGGGAAATAAACACCTGCAGTCAGTCCCCCAGGACACTGAGGAGGAGGAAGTAGGAGGAAGCTGGGAGGCAAATGCTGCAGTGTTTAATTACAGCTTGGGCAGAGATCTGGGCTGTGGCAAATCACCCGAGTAGTGTCTTAGTTTCGGCATTGGCATATTGCATTATAATGACACCTAGCTCAAAGAGGAGAGCGCCAGATCCCCTACATACCAGTAAATATAGCTACGTCTACAGACAGATCATATAGATAGGTGACATGCCTATTAGAAAAACGGGGTCTAACAATAGCTATGAAGGCAAAGACTGAGCACACATGTAAGTGAACAAGCACATCTCTACGTCCCATGTACGAGGTACAAGGGACACAATTAAACACAATGTTCGTACCTCTTTGGTAACTGCCAAGGAAACATCATGAAGCCTACAAAGAAGGACTTCTGAGTGGCAGATAGCCAGGCGCCTGATGCTGAAGAGTCCCTTCGCCTTCTCCTGCCTGAAAGGGAATTACCAAAAAGATTGATTTTTCTCACCACCCAAGAACTAGGCAGCACCCTCTGAAACTACCAAGGTGTCAGCTCAAACAAAGGGAGGTGCTTGGCATACGGCAATTAATTAAATCATGGAACTTGTTGCCACAGGATGCTGTGGCCGTCAAAAGCATACATAAATCCAAAAGGCAAATAGATGATTTCAGAGTGGATGGGTTATTTGGTGGCCATTAAACAAGACAGCCTTGCCAAAATCCCTGGCACACGAAGTTCCTATGTCACTGCTTCCTAGAAGCAGGGAGACTGTGCCACATTTCTGTTTCTTGCACCCTTGCTGGACCCTGTCCCTGAGATATACTCCCACCTGGCTGTTACAGGAGCATATTCCCTCCTTTCCATCCCCACAGAGCAGTTCAGGAGTGAGAGTCTGCACTGCTACTCAATAGCTGAGTTTGCACTCTGCAACCAAGTTGTATGTCCGTGCCTTTCCCCCGCTCCCCCCCCAAAAAAAACCAAAGCAGTATGTCCTAAAAGAGACAACATCTGGGCAAGAACAGCCGAAACATTGGATTTTCCAGAAAATCCCTGCTTAAAATAACACCCACAACAGCAACATGTTATTTAAAAATAATAAAACCCTGCATCTTTCAGCACTTTGTGAAGGACCTGAGCTACATGAAGGCACATGATGTAGTCAACGGTTCACCAGGGCTGCAGGGCAGGGCCGGGGACCTGTCCCCACCGGGGTCCCTGAGTGCAACCCGGACACCCCACACCTGCAGCAGCTCTTTGCACCTCCCAGGGCTCCAAACAGTAACAGGGAAGAGACAGGAGAGAGGAGCAAAACAAAGCGATTGCACAAGGAGATGCATCGTGGAAGATTTTCCATGGTTATCCCAGGGTAAATGGAGCCCTAGTGAGTGTATGCTGACCCAGAAATCAAAAAGACAACCAATATCACCTGAAATTTGTGCAGTCTCCTCCTGTCTGTGTCTAATTTCAGGAAACACTGTGATCATCAACAGAACATCTTTGTCCCATACTAAGCAGTAAGGAGAAAAAAGTTGAGGTCTGCAAGTGCAAGATTCCTAAAGGATTTTTTGTTTGTTTGTTTGTTTAATTTTTCCTTGTCTTCTGCCATGAGCTGTTCAGGAGAAATGACAGGATGAGCAACTCTGCACCACATTTCAGTCCATTTCTCAGACACAGGAATTCCCTGTAGGCACTGCTGGGACTCACGTGCAGGAAGCCATAGGGATGCCCCATCTCCTGCTACTGCTGCCAGCAGGGGGGACAGAGACAAAGCCTTTCTCAGCCCTAGTGAACTGAGGCCGCCAAACCTCTAAACTCAAGGCTGCTTCCGTCCTGCTTCTGGCTTCAGCCAGCAAATCATCTTGTTCCACAACCTTTCTCTCTTCCTTGAAGATTTCATTTGCAGCTACATGGAGCACAAGGCAATCTTAGGAAACAGCATGGACCTTCTGCAGCTGTAGCACTGCTACGGACCACGGCAAATAAAAGGCTGCTCTCACATCTTTATACTGTGACTGCTTTGTAGCGGTTCCACTAGTTCCCTTTAGACATCTGGGCTGTCTGGGCTCAGAGGCACTAGAAAAAAAACATTTCTAACTTACTTTTACACTGAGAGGGAGAAAGAGTGAACAGGGGGATTTCTTACCAGTCGTCGCTGCTGAGCCATGTGAGCGCGTTGAGCACCGCCTGCTCTGGGTGAGGGAAGGGTTTGGCTTCCCGGGGATCCCCACCCTCTGGCTCCTCTCCCCACTCTAGGAAGTCCAGAGCAATGGCTGGCAGCGAGTTCGCTGTAAGGAGATAATCAGACTCCATGAGGCAAGGCACCTGCCCCTGAGCAGACTGTAACCCAGTCTCCCAGCCAAGATGACATATGGGTGCAAAGCGGCATCGGTTCAAAGACTTCTCTGCTGTCTAGCTCATTGCTTTGCCCAGCACCCAGCCATCTCCCGGTCAGCCCCAGCTAGGCACCAGCTCCTTGTGTAAACCTGAAAATTGCATACACGCAGACAGCTCCCTAGTCCACGTGGGTACCACAGCCAGCTGGCAGATTCATAGTGCCACAGAGCTCGCGCTCACTGGGAGCCAGTGCCACCCAACAAGCTTGCTGCCCCAGGAGTAAGCTCCCGAGATGTGCGCATGCCTCCCGGTATCACCTTGCTGTTATCTGGAGCACTGGGGACAGAGGCACCCTGTAGCTTCATGAGGGAACACCTCCAGCTGCCACCAGTGAGCACCCAGCCTGAACAACCGAGTCCTGCTGGGCTCAGGCGAATCCCCGGGAAGCAACCACCAGGGAACAGTGATACCCGGCGCTCTGAATCTGACAGTGCCTCTGTTTCCATTTACTTCAAGTATTCTGGACAGCAGGCAGCTGAGTGCACATACATTTTAGCACACTGTTGGGAAAGTAGTAGTCGTCTATGGTGCCTAAGCTTCCTCTTGCGGAAAAATGCAATTTCTAGTCTAGATAGTTGTGACAAAAAAGCCTTCCAAATGTGAACTGAGAATAAAAATATGTAAATATAGATGCAAATTGATGGCAAATACACTGTCTTGATGATAAATATACAAGGTATAAGAAAATTCAGATGACAAATGCATTTGTTATGAAATCTATTTGTCATCAAAAGCACCGTAGGTCAAAAACTTCACGTCTTGCCCTCAAAAGCTCATTTTCTAAAGTGTAGATGAAACCATCTGAGCTGTCTAAAAGTATTGAGTATAAATATTGCACAGAATCTAGATGAACTGCTATGGACTCTGTAGGGTTTTTATGCTACCTTGTGTGTTCCACAAAGGATGGAGGATGGAGGAACTGTAAAATCAATTGTATTCAGATGGGGACTAATTTGGATGTCACCAATAGTACTGTCACTGATATCAATGATGTCACTGCATGAGTATGTATATATACACTTCTATATTCAAGATGAACAGACGGCCATGTCAGGCTAATTCTGGTCAGTTTTGAAAATCTGAGTAGCACCCCTATGAAACAGCAAAGTATCCTTCCTAGCTCCCTTTTTCTTAACTCTTGCCACTCAGGATTGTAACACGAGATAGGCTACCCACAAAGGAGAGGCCAGAATCACTACGTACTCACTATCTGCTGTATATTTATTGCGGGTAGCAAGAAGCCCGGGAGCACCAGGCAGCCTCTGCTGTATGTCATCTGCCCCACACAGCCACCATATTTGGGTGGGGTGACAGAAGAGGCAGTGCTGGTTCCCAATTTGCATCGCAGGCAGTGAGATGAGAGAGGCTCGAAGCTGTTAAGCACTTCTAGGTGCAATAGCATGGTTGTACCGAGTTGCTAATTTCCATGCAGAGACAACCCTTGCTGGAATAGCAGAAAAACTGGTTGAAGAGCCAGACAGCAGCACAGGCAGAGCGCCCAGACGGTGAGTAGCTAATTGATCCTGGCGGTACACATAGGTGCCCAGTGAGCACACCCTGCCAGACTGCACTGGAGCTCAGGCCTGCAGTTACAACTGCCTCCCAGCGCCAGAGTGATATTTTAGTCTCTCAGTAGGGGCAAAAGCTAGATCCTAAGGCTTTACCGCTACTTCACTTAGCTAAACTTTCCAATGGAACTGCAAGCACCAACTGCTCCAGTATCATCAAGCTGGAGTGGATCCAAAGTAGGTTTGCTCTCAATCCTCAGGACAGGCTTTGGACCTGAGATCCTACCTGTGGTTGAGGAATGAGGCAGGTTGTGCTCCTTGTGCAAGGAAAGAGCTGGTGCGGGGTCTGCAGCAGAGCAGGCTCACCTGAGGACTTGCGTTCCGGGAAGCTGCCACCCTGGCTGATGACGGGGAGGCTGGGCAGTGAGGGCCTGTTGACCCGCTTCCCCAAGGCCGTACCAGCGCGCTGCCTGCGTGCCGTGCTTGTGCTGGTGGAAATGGGAACTGCCCCATTGATAGGCGGTAGGCCAAAGCCTGCAGAGACGGAAAAAGACCTTGTAAGCGGAGAGTGCTGGACAGGGTGGCCATGGACTTGGACAGCGCTGAAGCTGGGTAACATCCCTTTGTTGTCCCAAACAACTCCAGGCATAAATCGCACGCTAACACGGGACAGCGATCGCAGAATGCAGTGATGCTTTCCCTAAGAAATGAGGAGAACTCAGTACTGCCTTTTGTTTGCTCTCCTGTTTCAGAGGCTGGATAGGGAAGTTACATTTCTGGGGCACCCACCTCCGCACTCCCCAGCAGTACTTCACAAAACAGTAGCAAGAAAAAGAGCAGGTGACCTTGCCCGATGCCCTTGGGCTGAGCACTGGCTCTTAAATTCACTGCTGCTGCACTCATGGTAGTGTGTGCAGCGGCGCAATCAGAGCCTGTCAGCTGCAATTAAGTCAACGATGCCGCCTGCTCGTGTGGGTAAAACCTAAGCACTGGGAAGGGCTCCAGCACGGCTCTACAATGTGAGCTCCTCAGCAGGGAATGGTGTGAGTGGGATAAGCTGTCCTATCAAGTCAGCAAGATCTTTTGTGCATTAATTGGAAATAATTTAATTTTGTTTCTTCCAGGTTGCACCTTGGTTGAAAAGCATTCTCTTGGACTCGCCCATTCACCTTTGCTGGAGGCTACTCTCAATTAAAGAGTCTGGAGCTCCAATGTCGTTTACAAGACAAAATTATCCAGTCTGAAAGACTTCATAAGAGAAGCGGGGAAGGTGACATTCTGTGACTGACTCAGTGTAGGCCACAGGGAAGACATTTCATGCCTCCGTATTTTTCTTTAAAAAGCGGAAATAAATCCTATTCTACTTTCCACTCAGATGCAAGTGTAACAGCCTTCCAGTCTGATTTTGGAGACACTTGCAACACTTGGCCAATAGCAAGCAAGTGAACATAGAGGCCCACAACGATAGCAACCACTTACTTTCTTCATCCGGATCCCTAGGGTCAACACTCTGTGGAGGAAGCTGCGAGGACACTTCCTGTTCTCTCTCTTTCTCCCTCTCTTTACGCAAACGCTCCATCTCTCTCATTCGCTTCTGCTGTATTTTCTTCTGAGCTGACTTGGACAAGGTAACATGGATCTAGTTGCAATGGAAATACATCATTGAGCATAAAGACAGATACACAGACCCTACAGAACACCTCATCAGGAACACAGCGGTAGCGTGTCATCGTCTTAATGCAGCTCCATATACATCGGAGTAGTTTCAGAACTCGTCTGTTCCTCACCTGGGCATACAGTTACACCCAGTGATGTGCAACACTTCATTGCCACAACCTCCCACTGGTCCAAGATAACTGTTTCTCAATCTGTGTCAGGAAGCCCTGCTTAAGTCAAGAGAGTCATAGGACTGCTCCAAGACGTAGGAAGAGCTCACGTTACCAGCGAACAGGCAGTTCAGTTCCTACAGGCCAGGGGGGATAAACATCTGCCATAACCAGCAATGAGAGGTAATTTGCTGTTTTTTAACGCCAAGAGCCAGGAATTGCAGCGGCTTCTCACTTCCTTGCTTCTGAAGGACTCAGCTGCTCTCTGAGAACACAGGGGTCCAAGAAAGGAGTCATGTGAAAACAAGCTGGAGAAGCATTGATCTTAATGAACAGGAAAAAGAATGAGAGGGCTGTGAGATACAGCAAGGGAGGTAACCAAGGAAAAGCAAGTTCTGCCATTTTATTCTGCAGCCTTGCTGACACTCAACATTATACTCTTTGGGGCTTTGCAGATTCTGAGCATGCACTTTGCACATGTTCACTGATGTGCAACTTGCTCTGCCATTTGGGTCTGCTCTACATTGGCCTTTGTACAGAAAGAATGCATCTCACGTAACCTTAACACCACCTCCCGACTGGTGACTTCTGCGCCAGTGAAAATACTCGGGCAGTTGCTCTGTAGCTGTCGAGCGTATTCCCAAGATAATCTGCTCCCCAAGAGAGGAAGATTATGAATTTCAGTAACGTGTTGGGCTAAGCACTGAACAGTCACTGAAAAGGAAGGCTGCTCCCCCGTGTCCTTAGCCCTTACCCTTCCATTGCTGTCCTTCAACTCCTCGTCACTCAGAAGGTGAGGGCTCATAAGACGATCCATCTCCTTGACGTGGCTGAGTGGGAAGTCCGTCAATGGGGGCACAGGTTCACACAAATGCCCAGCAGACTTCACGCCACCAACGCCACAACGCCGGAGAACAGGCAAGACGGGTTCCAGAGTCCGGCGCTCTGATAAGACACAGATATAGATTGTATATGAGAACAGCAAGGAACATATCACCTCTCCAAACACATGGGGTACTACTGTATTGCACTGACGGCAGAAATGACCTTGCAGTGTTGGCCACCAGACTCAAACCTCTTGCACGATATAGGCCTCAGGCCTTGGCTTCTGGTGAGCAGCTATGTTTGATAGAGAAGAGCACAGAGATGGAGATTGCCCTTGCCAAACAGGTTCCTATCTGTTCCTGTCCATTTTGATTTTAGTAAACATCCTCTTTTTCCCAGTTACTAAAAGAACTCCTGGTTGTCAAGAGCTGTACGTCTTTGTAGAAGTAAGAATCAACATTTCCTTCCCTTTGCTGTAATATTTTCGGGGGCATTTAAAGAAAAGCTTAGGATTGCTAGAGTCTTACCAAAACCAGAGTTGTGTTCTTGAAGCTAGGATTCATTTTCTCCAAGGGATTTCATTCTAAATTGCAGCAGATCAGACCAATTTCTGGGCAGCCTCACTAACAGCTGATTTTCTTAATGGGAATAGCACAGTGCAGCTCATTCTGAAATACTCTCCAATAGAGCTGTTAAAACTCAGAGTAGTAATCATTCCTTCCACGGCTTCGCAGATGATAAAATCATGTTATAGCCAAGCAGTAAAAAAGGAATAACTTACTGAAATCAGGATTTTTTTACCCCTGCGGAATGGTCAGGTCAATAATAAAAGACACAGAGAGATGGTTTAACAATATAGCTCATTTCTAGTCCAGAATGTATCCAGCACAAATGTCACCGCACGTACTCGGCAATACTTTTCCCTAGTTGCATTCAGCATCCCAGCTGCATATCAGCAATAAAGGAATCATTCCTGTGGGGTGTTCCCAGTATTTAGCAGAACTAACACTAAGCTGAGGGACCAGCAGATCTCATCCCTTTCCCTGCATCAGCAGAATTATTTGTTAAATTCTCATCTCTCCTATCGCTACAAACCCACAGGTGGCAAAAGGACAGCAACAGTGTCATTGAGGTCTTCAACTTAAAAGTACTGGCTGACACAGATGCACGAGGCACCACATCTTGTCTTGCAGAACTCATTGCTTGTGACAATGCAAGGCAGGGAGAGGGGAGAAGCCTGCCCCAGCCTCAGTTTGTAATACTGACATATGCAGATAGAGTAGGGGAAGAGATTGTAATAATAAACCTAGCATAGGTGGTTTGAGGTCAGTTAGTTGCAAAAAGGAAACCTCTGTTCATTACTCAGCGTTTAATTTAGGGTTGTGCTTTCAGAGGATGGAAAGCTCAGATTCTGCATAGGCTGGATCCTTTAAGGCTCTTTCTCTGTAAATGGAAAATTCACAAGGACTTCCTATCACAAAAGGTTTCACTTTCTCTCCCAGTGCAAAAATAGGCAATGTTGATGAATCTGCTTCAGATCTCAAAGGGTTCGGTTCAGAAACTGCTCCAAGGGAAGGTTTTCTCCTTTAAGCGTGGGAGGAAGGAGCAGGAAAATTTCTCATTTCATGCAAAACGCCTCATTTTTCTCTGATCTTTGTGACGTGAGAGAACGGGCAGGAGGATAAAAGGTATAAGTATGAGGTAGAGGAACGTTTTCTTTTCCTGCTGTGCATTTCCAGGGCCCCAAGGTACCCCTCCAGCTCCTCTGCCCTTCAAAACCCCACGCTGGAGTCCTTTTCACTGCATCACCAAAGCACATTTCCCAGTGACTGGGCCCTGGGTGGAGCCGTCTGAGAGCACATCACGGAATTGAAAAGAGTTACAGGCTGGTTTTTGACCAAACTTTCACAGTGTTACCCATAGCTCAGCTTTCCTATGTTCATTTTAGGGCAGCCATGCCCTGTACGTACCTAGAGCTTTAAGGGTCTTCTCTTCATTTCTGCTGCCTGATCTTGGCCTTAAGAAAAAGAGGACAAAAGAATATATGAGGAGACAGAAAGAGAAGGGGGGTAGCATTAAAAGAGGCAAACTTTCTTAGCAAGGTCATTCTCGTGAAGGAGGAAATGCAACCCATCAAACCAACAATACGCAAAGCTGATTAACTGCCATTAAACGTTCAGTTGCTGGAGTGACACAGAGCTCATCAAGCTCAAGCTGAAGCACAGGAGCCGTTCTTCAATCTGGGCCTTAACTATCCAATTCTGCTATCTCTCCTTTTGGACCTAAGTGGCCCTCACTGTTACCCACATCTTTTCTGAATCATCATCAAGAGATGTTAAGCCAGTCATAAGTCTGTACTGAGGGCAGCAGCCTTCATACCGCCGCAGAAGCCTAACTTTGCCTGGCCGTGCCTTAAACTGATGACAGTATCTTGTTACACACGGTAATACCACTGAGAATAGTATTACACCTCCCTGCTCTTTCAAGAAGAAAAAGGGGTTTTCCAACGCAACTGGTAGGTAAGGTTATTCTGATTGCACTTTAGAAGCCATGCTTAAGCTTTAAATTGGAACTATATTTCTACGACTCCTCACTTACTGTTGTAACTAAGATAAGGTTGACAGCTAGATTTCCCCACGTATATCCAAGCAAATATCTTTTCATCGGTGACAGTCCTATAACTGTTCTCTAGCACCTCGCCCCCTTTGACCTTAAAACCATATGTGAATATTGCACATCTCTAGGATTGGACATCTATAAACAGAGATTTATCTGGGCTCTCCTTTCACAGTGAAGGCCCAGACACAGAGAACTTAGGACTGACATTTACAGCAGACAGCTCTACAATAGCCAATATTTGCCCTAACGTATTCTTGCACGTACAGATACTGGCACTCAAAGATCACACACAAAACCAGATGCTGTATTCAGATCCATGCAATACCATTCCCAAACGGCACCACAAAGATTACAGAGTGAACCGGCATCAGAGTCCAGCAGAGGATCTGCTTTTAGCGTCTTCTGAAGTCCTGCCTCCTCCTCCTCCCCCCCACCACCCTTGCTCTTAGAATGCATGATATTGGTTTTGACATTGTGCTTGATCATCATAGACGTGCAAAATGGTGAATGCACAGAAGTTTGTATAAATATGTTGGAGAGCTGGCTGTGGAAAACAAACTCACAAGACAAGACGGGTGAGGTAAATGGCATGTTGGAGAAGCAGGCGCCTTGGCTTACCTCATCTCCAGAGCCTCTTGCAAAAGCAGGTGCTGAGAGCTTGGGAGAGGCACTGCAGCGCTGCCAGGAGCCCCATCAGATGGTCTTGCTGACTTGGGGATAGGGGGAATCAAAGCCGCTCCCAGTGACTTCTTCCCAGCCTCACCATACAGGGGCATCAGGGAAGCCTTGGAATAGTAGAACACAGTGCTCAGCCCAAGCATCCAGCCTCCCCCCTTGATGCCACAAGGAGTTTGGCCATGCGTTTATCTAGGACTTGGCAGGAAAAGAGAAGTCAAATTGATGGAGCCGCTTGGCCTAGGATGGGCAACGGAAAGGGAAGCGGTGAGGGAGAGACCATGTCCCACGCTGTTGCCAGCTCTCTCCCGTCACTTACCTCTCTGGCAGTGGCTATGTTCCCACCTGGCATCCATCTGCTCGTCAGAAAGATGTTCTGGGGTGCCATTGCCTCTGCTAGCCTTTCTGATGGTACGGGAATGGGTTTAGATCGCTATCCTCTCGCTGTCCCTAAAGCACCTACCAGACATTGCTGAACTCCAGCCAAGTCCCCACAAAGTCATTTTGCGTGCTGAGAAAACTGGCTTTTCTCAAGCCCATAATTTTTTCCACTTCTGCCCTTCCTACAGTCCCCTACCAGCCTTTGGGCCCACGTGCTAACGTGCTCTCTGGATGCCCAGTGCTCTCCAGCTCCCGCACAATTCATCATCTCAGGCTCACTGTGTCATTTACAAAGCTCAGCAGAGCTCCCTACCCTGCTGCCACGTATAAGGTCTCTCTGCCTGCTGAAATTACTTCAGGCTCCCCATGCCGTGGCTAGGAAGGGGCATGGAGGGAGCAGGGGGGCAGACGCACACCCTTCCTGAGTATCTCACCATTCTTGTTACAGCTAAAAAGGCGAATCAGGACCTGTTCAAACTCCAGTGAAACCAACAGAGTTAATGGCAGGGATGCATTTGGCCCTGTATCTGCAAGGCTGAAACCAAGTATACTTTTATTGGTTATCCTGCTTACAAAGGCTGTTATTCGTCTACCTTCTCCTGCCCACCACAGCAAAATCAAAACAACTGCAGCTTCCGTCCCTCCCGCAAAGGCAATTGAGTGGATGGGGTCTGGACTCTACTGCCCATGGCCAAAATTGCCAGTTCCCATCACTGACATTCCTTGGCAGACGCATGGGAGAGGAGGAAGCTGCACGGAAGCCGCTGAACTCCAGAAATATTATTAGCGATAACTGTGCAGAAGGATATGGCTGCTGTACAACTCAAAAGCCAGGACAACCTAAAGTTGAGTTTGCAGGACCACCTGCTCCAGCAAACATCTTTTTCCATCTGAACCAGACGGAGCCGATATAAAAAAACCACCAAGACACTGGTATGTCTGCAACACTAACCGCAATGTACAGGTGGTTCACACACGCAGGTATTTTACTAACTGTAGAAGGATGTGCTTGACCATATTAGACACATTTAGTTGCTCTGACGGGTTGCTGGTGTTTTCCCAGTCATGAAACACAGCAGGAGCTACTAGAGAGCACAGAAACTATTCTCCTATTGATACACGCCGAGGACACATTGTGCACAGTCTGCAGGACACACATTGCAGAGACAGCCTGACGTGCCATGTCCAGCTGAGCTCTTCCCTGGGTCAACCGCTTCTCTGGGCTCACACCACAGAGAAAGGAGAGCTCAGCACATTGCCTACAGGAAACAAACTGAGGACCCAGCACATGTGTTTTGGCTTGGTTTCCTTACTTGATATCCTTTTGTCTCTGACATCGGCTCCTTGTTATTCCCATCGCTGTCATCACGGCCTGTGCCATTTTCCCCGCGCTCCCGCTCTCCGTGGCTCATGCGGCTGGGCTCTGAGCAAGGAAGGCCGTTCTGGATGGGAGGCACAGGCTTGGAGGTCACCAGGAGCCTCTGGGAAGCTGACCGGCAAATTACTGGCTTCAAGATAAGCCCCTTAGGCTCACTGCAGTCAGTTAGGCCTGCAAAGTGGAGACACAAAGCATAATAGAAGCAGCACTGCAAACCTAAAGCACCCGAAGCTAGAGATTTCATTGGACAGATTTCTTGCAGACTTCTAAATAACCGCAAAGGGAAACACGCTCATGCTGGCAGCCACTTGAAGCAGGCCAGCGGCCAACCCCTCCCCACTTCCACAGAGCCACCAGAGGAACACCCTGGTCCTCTGGGCTCCTGTCAGACAACAGAGAGCCCACGGACCTGTGCTTAGCCAGAATAAGTCACACGCACATACACCCTCCTGCTCCTCTCCCTGCCCCACAGTTGTAGGAGGGCTACAGAGGGGACCGAGAGCAGGGAAGGCTATTGCAGGGGGGCACGTCCAGGGGAGAACTCTGCGCTGGGAATGTGTGCTAGCTCTCTAGGCTGAGAAAAGACCCTTCTTCCCACAGAAGGGCGAGCAGGCTCCTGCCTTACCTCTCCGTGAGGCTAACAGACCCTCAGACATCCTCCTCATCTTCAGCTTCTCCTTGAGCCGAATGGTTTCTGAGGCAGCGCTGCTCGCTTCCCTCTCTCGGGGCTCCGGGGTCAAGGCTTGGTGAGAAAGGTGGGAGAGATCAACTCCATCCCCAGCGCTGAGGTCGCGCACACTAGCCTTGCTGACCCAGTCACCCAGGGGAGAGCTGGCCCTTGGGCATGGAGGCTTCCCAGCTCCATCCCAGAAACTCAGCTGCTTCTTCATCTGGGTCGTTAATATGGACTGAAAGCAAGCTGTAGATCAGGTAAAAGGGAAGAAGTGAGTTAGTTGACCTCACACCTTTACAATCAACACATCTAATGAGTGAGGCATTCAAGGTTTTTTTAATCATTCATAATATCAGTTTGGTTTTATTTTTCATAAAACTAGCATCAGTTTAATTCTTCTGAGTAGCACTGAGCTAGCAAGCCCGGAGCAAGAGGTTGAAGGCCCCACTGGTAAGAGGCGGGGAAACAGATTCCCATTTCAGACCTTGGCTTCTGTGAAGACTACAAGTAAAGACCCACATGGTGCTACTAGTGTTTCTGGAGAGCAACAAGACATCTCAGCAAGCTGACAGACCTTGCCAGTCTTTCTACAGCATCATCCCATCCTCAAGGTCAGACCCGATGGGCAAGCAGAGAAAGAACTGGGAATTCACCTATGCCGAGGCCACACAGCGCTAGCGAGGATAGAAAGAGAACTCACATGTCATTACCATGCCCGATCTATGGCTGCTTGGGCCACAGTCCCTGTCCTGGCTAGCAGTAGTAGTGATTTGGCTACTGTTGATAAAGCAGAAAGCATAACAAACTAATGACAGAGAGATGTGATGCCACGCGCACCACTTGAGGAGGGCAGGATCATCTGCAGCTCTCTTGTCAGCCACCTACTGACACAGAGCCAGCACATGAGGACTGGTCTCCAAGGACCAGGTCTCCCTGAATGTTTGGGGTTTTTCTTCATTTGGCTGAGGCCAACTTGGCCTATTCAACCCCTTTCCATCCTCACCTTCTTCTTCAGCGGTCCAAATGCTGCCACAAAACCGCACGCTCAAATTGATTATCGATTGATAGTTATCGATCCCCGGCGTTGTCCTGCCTACGAGGGGTCCCGAGTGGGAGACTGCTCTCGTCAGGCGGTGTTAGAATATCATAAAAATATAGCCAAGCTATGCATTCAGCACCTTCTGCCTAAATCGCGGCCAGAAAGTCCAAGCACTGCAGGAGTACTGCTGTCGCCGTAAGAGGAGAAAGGGAACTCCATCCTAGCAACCACTTGTTCCGTGGTTCTATGAGCACAGCAGCAGAGGCAAGTGTCTCACTGCACCCACTGCTGCTGGACCCCTGAATGTTTGGGGGTTTTCTCCATTTGGCTGAGGCCAACATTGCATATTCAACCCCTTTCCATCCTCACCTTCTTCTTCAGTGGTCCAAATGCTGCCACAAAACCGCAAGCTCGAATTGATGCTTCCACCTTACAGAGCTGTGTATCCAGACTGGATATGCAACTGGGGCACAGTAGTTAGTTATCGATCCCCAGCGTTGTCCTGCGTACGAGGGGTCCCGAGTGGGAGACTGCTCTCGTCAGGCGGTGTTAAAATATCATAAAAATATAGCCAAGCTATGCATTCAGCACCTTCTGCCTAAATCGCGGCCAGAAAGTCCAAGCACTGAAGGAGTACTGCTGTCGCCGTAAGAGAAGAAAGGGAACTCCATCCTAGCAACCACTTGTTCCGTGGTTCTATGAGCACAGCAGCAGAGGCAAGTGTCTCACTGCACCCACTGCTGCTGGACCCAGCACAGCGCACTGGAGTTGCTCCCACTGAACTCCGTGCTGCCGCTGCAGCAGCAGCATTGTTTCACACGTTTGATAACAGAGAGCTGTAATGTCACTGGACTTGCCCCAAGAACAACAGAAAAAATGGCAGGGAGAATACTTTGCTCCTTTTTAATACAAACATACCTGGCTTTAAGGGGGTCACCGGGCTAACAATACTGCAGACTGGTGTGTGACCCCTATCTCTAGCACTTCCCACCGGTCTGCAAGATTTTTTCTATAGAAAGGGGTATATAATATTTGATGACACATCCATGAGTAAACCTGAGCCACAACTCAAACCACAGGCCAAATACTTCCAAATCTGCCACCCGTTGGGAAAGGAAGGGGAAAAGCAGTTGAAACAACAGCCGTTGGAGCTAGATTGCCTGCATTATAGTCTAGAAGGATACCAAGGTAACTGCTTTTGAAAATCCACTCACAGGTGCCTGTAAAGTTCTGCAAACAGAACATCTATCACATGGTAGCTAAGTGCAGCCAGAAGGACCAATCACGGACACAGTTCAGTTAAATTATTACAGAAGGAAAAATGCCTCTGCACTCAATGGAAGAAGCAACGGCAGGTCCCTATTAATGTGTTCTGTAAGCTTAAAACAAACAACAAAGAATGCCTATACAAGGACTTTAGATATCCTACTATCAATGAAAACTTACAATCAGATAAAAATCCTCAAGCAAATTTCAATACAAATTGTTCATATTGCAGCAAGGCCCTGTACTGCTCCACCCCCTGCCCGAGAGATTTAACTCTGCTCAAAAACTATAAAAGCATTCTTCTGGAATAAAGCAAGTGATTTCAGAAAGTTAGCTGAGACAGTTAACCCACTTGTGGCTTTCACCCTTTTTGATAGTCTAGATAAATTCACCAGGACAGCTGAAGGTCAAGGAAAGAAGGTGCTTAGAGGGTTTTTAGAGCCTAATTCCCTTTACTTGCAATGAAAGGCAGGCACTAAATAGCCTTAAAAAGACATATGTAGGTCTATTTGGACTGTGTACTTGAAAAAAACCGAAAAGAGGTATCATTGTGAGTGGGCATAAAGCAGCAATTAAGGTATATTTTCTTTGGTCTCTTTGCACAGGATGAATATCTAAGAAATATGACAGCGGCAATTTTGGCTGGTTAAGATCACCTCCTAAATGAAGCTCAGCATGCCTCATTGCTTAAGGTATTAAAAATGCCCAAGAGAAAGCAGTAAGCACCAGAAATGAGAGTATCCTGTAGCTAAGATAGAAGGCTGCCTCTGCCACTGACTTACCCTGTAACACAAAGCCGGGCTCTCCATGCCTCAGTTTTGTTCCTCTGCCAGGCTGTCGTACCTAAATGCTAGCATGCTATAAAGGCTAACTAGGAAGGGCATTACTTATGGTACCTCCATGGCCCCCAAAGGCTTAATTGCCCACATTCAGGGCAGAATTCCTAATTCAGGGCTGCTACGCAATATGGAAAACGCCAAATGTACAGATGTGTAGGGCCATCCCTTTCTCCCTTGCACCAAAACCACTGTAACCGGAATGATCATGGCAAAGCAATTTGCCTGCAGCCTAGTGGAAGCACTGAGTGTGCAGGATTCATCTTCTGCTGCTGCTGATAGGAGCATGGAAAACAAGCTGGTGCCATCGTCTGTACAGAGGAGAACAGTGGCAGTGGCGGAGTGGAAAAAAAAAAGGTGTTAGAAACTGTCTTTCTGAAGAGGCAAAAAAAAAAAGGAACACAGCTGCATTTGAACAGCTCCAAGCCCTGGTGACATTTCAGCAGACAGTAACTGTACTCCTTGTCACCCTTCTGCTGGGTCAATCAAAAGGAAATGCATCCTCTGGGATTTTCAGCTTCTTTGGATCATTAGCACCCAGTAAATGATAATAGAGATTATTTCATGCTATCATTACTCTCTGTCCCACAACTCACAAGCTATTTCTTCGGTGGCTTCCCAGCACAGCAAACATACAGTAGCGTTGATGAAACACACTGATGCCAACAACTCTACAGAGCCCATCAGGATTGGAGCCACTATGGAGGTTGAACCCAGTATCTCACCAGCCAGAGGCCTGTTGTGAGGATAAAATGAACTTGGAGGGATTATGGTTGTTTGGGGGTTTTTTGGCCAGTGGATTTCAGCTTACAGGCCCATAATGCTTCTGTAGCGTGATGTTTTTATGTAGAGTAAAAAGCCATCGCCCAGTGGACCTGCACAGTTTGCCCAGGCCTGTGGGAATATCATGAGGCAGATCCCGGTGCTACTAGTTGCACCTCCCCCCACTTTTCTAAGTTCTTGGTGTCAAAGCCGCTTAGGTTAGACACACAGCTCACAGGAATTGCTCCTCTATCTTTTCACACAATGATCCAAGCATGATGACACATCCAAAATCTGCTTTCTCTTACTGTTGAACTTACTGGTTTGAGGAATTTCTGAACCAGCAAACTTATTTCCTCAAATATTTACTATGTATGGCAAGGAGCACACACAAAAGATGTAACATTAAACACATCACCCACACAATGCTCTTTTTACAAATTCTGCCCTCAGCTTTCATTTGGAAGATCTTAAAAGTTCGATGCCTGTATCAAAAGCCCCTGCAATGGCTGCTTCTCAGCAGAGCAGGGCTGCTCAACCATGAAACAAGAGTTACCACAAGCAGCAGCTTACCCAGGGCAGCAAATCAAGAGTTAGGAATAAGCTGATCTGAATGCCAAACCTCATTAGCTCCTTCAAAAAGCACTTGAACAATCCCTCATTCCAGCTCTAATGAGGTGGTGTGCTGGACACCACGGTTATTTGAGTACTGTACACAAGTTTGTTCCCACTAAGCACTGCAATGGTCTCTAGTGGAGCTGTGGCCAAGGGCGGTCGTTCCCCAAAGGTGGGTGATCAATTGCTCTGTGGGCTCCTGTGACTACTGAACACAATGAGACGTGAAGGAGCCAAGTACACTGACACACCTTTGCCTTCAACATAACCCAGCCTCAACCAAAAGTGTTCAAAGGTTTCCCCTTCTTATCGAGGTACTTCAAAGAAGACCCTAAATCTGCAAGATAATGAGCCTGTGCAGGCGTTTGTAGAGCACCTCATGCAGAAAGATCCTCACCCTGAGGGGCCACCAGGTGCTTACACTGTATGAACACAAATTAGCTGACAGCAGTAATGCTATAGGCGCTAGTGCTGGAAAAAGCACACAACTACCAGCTACTGCTTCTCTTCTGAGGGCAGGTCTTCATGGCACATAGAATTTCTGCCATGAAGGATTCTAGGAAAGGCTCTAGATGCCCAACACTCAAGGCTTGGGTACAGAAGCAGTCATAATCAGCACCTTGAACTAATATATCCTCAAGTTAAGTTAAACCAGAGGCCTGTGTCTTGAAATGTTAGGCTGGCTCTTTGTCAGCTCATGCCGGTTTCTTGTAAAAGCATTTTCCTTAGAAATAACGGGCTCATCTCCCTCAATGCCTTCCTCTTAGCTGCCTCAGGGAGAGGGGGTCTCCCACCTCATACTCTGTGTGAAGCCATCCCAGAGGGCTACTAAAATACATTCCCTGGCCGGCAGTTTTCTCCTGGTAGGGCCCTGCATACTGTTCCACACATCTTTCACAAAGGCACAAACCAACTCCAAGCACTCTGACTACAGCAGTTTTCCACAAACAGCTGCATAAATCCAAGATAACTGCAAGTGACCATCCTAAGGACTCTGTCCTCTTCCTGTGTAAACATCAGGCAGGAAAATTCTCAATGATCTGAAGCAATTTTGTTCACGTGCAACATGGGATCTGAGTTTTGTATGGAAATTTTTCATTATGAGTAACAAGCGTTGGGAGCACGAGGAGCAGGGCTGACATGCAAAAGCAGGAGCATACCCTCTAACAAGACCAGTTTAATTGTCCATTTTATTACTCTTATATCTATCTATTCCACTAAAGTCCCAGTACTGTACTTAGCGCTGTATGAACCCTGAAATACAACAGTTCCCACTGCTCAGAATTTATTCCCTGGTCTTTACAGTATTTAATCACCTCCGTCTTGTTCAGGGCTTAAGTCCACTAATCAAGCCCCACTGAAATATTTAAAGTCTCCATTCACCTAACCTACAGGGTATCACCTAACTCCACCTAACTCCTAGAGTACCCAAGTGACCACGGGCTGATGCCTGCAAAACACAGGGGCATCTGACCTGCTGCTCACAGCCTCACACTGTGGTGCCCAGAGGATCCAATGCAGGACCTGCAGTCAAACACCTTTTTTCCAATACCTACCAGCTGGCAGCATCTACCTTGGGTGAGCTGGAGGTCACTAAGAGGACTAAAGGAATAACAGGCTGTTGCTGCAACAACCTGCAATGCTTACAGGGAGGGGGACAAGAAAGAGCTGCCAGATATGAATGCGCAACACAGTAGACCTGGCTGACGAAACCTTGCAATGGTTTGACTCACTGACCTGACAGAAAACACCATGTTTCCCAGCTGCCATCACTTCCAACGTCCAAAAGTGAACAAAGCTGAAGAACAGCATGAAGAGTGGAAGACTGCAGAAGCAGGGCTAGCTCTGCTGCTGATTCATTGCTTGGCCTGCAGAGAAATAGAAATACAAATCTTACAGCCAGAAAAATGTTAGGAGCATATAAACGTGACCTCTGCAGGCCACAGATTTTAAATAAATCAACTTTACTTTCTTACGGGTCGATATCTCCAACTGCAAAATGCAAGTGATGCTTGGAAGTTTTGCAAAGCTCTTAAAGGCCATAGGGTGACAGATTTTACATAAATACAAGCAGTTACCATTGGCATTACAGCAGTGGTCTCTGCAGCAGTGCCCCAGCTTGCTAAATTGTTAGGGGTAAAGGAGTATGGATATTACCAGGAAGAAAAGGAATGAAAAAATAGTGAAGCAAAGGCATTCTCTCCAGAGAGAGAAAAAGAGAAAGAGAGGGAGAAAGTAACCAGCAAACACATCTGATAACAAGCAGAGTCCCTGTATCTCAGTCCTTCAGAGAGTTCAGTTTGTCCTCTCTCTACTGCTGTGGCAGGCTGTGATCTCCATACCCCAAAAAGAATTAAAGATGCATTAGCCTGTGGATCTTCCCTCCTCACCCTCCTACATATTTCCTAAATCCAGTTTTCAGAGATTCATACTTTTAGTAGCAAACCCCTTTGAAAACAGAAGCTAACCTGGAGGCAAGTTTGTTCCTCAGAGTGATATTGCTTTGGGACTAGGCATTTACGTATCAGAGAGCCTGTGAGCTCACTAATGTTTGCTTCTCCTCTCTTTGCTTGGAGTAAAATGATTCCACTTCTCCCCCACATCCTTTGGGGTGAGGTGCCGATGTTAAACTTAGCAAAATGCAGCAATTTAAACCACTGGCAAGAGTAGACTTGATTACCATCCTGCAGGGATGAACTGGCACCCCCAGGAGCCGTATAACACTGACCTAAACCTCAGAAGAGGGCAATTCAGAAAGTTGATTTGAATTTGACCTTCCTTATTTCTACCTGGAAAATAACAGTGTGAGCCCAGGAAGGACCAAAGGTGCAATTTTTGCTTTTTCGCCCCAGTCAGAGCAAGGGAAGTTTGAGCAGGAGCTGAGCAGGGACTTGCTCATTTGCCCACACACAGCAGCAAGGGGAGCCCTGGGAGCCCAAAGACAGCACCTGAGCCAAGGTGGGAGCTCTCACTCTGCCTCCTGTGGCATGGCAGAGGCCAGGCTGTTGCTTTTCTTATGAAGAGCTTCCCTATCAACAAACCACTATGTCTGCTCCACAGCTTCCACTTGTCCTCCTCTCTGCCACACTCTCCTTCATTTGCCACACTAAGCATTGCTCTTCTCTTACGCCTCCCAGAACTGTGTCTCTTAATTGACACCCAAACTCTCCAGCACACAACTGGAGTCACCCAGCAGAAGCTTCTCTTGTGTAGCTTTAAGGCTTTTCAAAACAATTTTTCAAAAAGAGAAAGATAAAAGGAAAAATCATCAAAACTTTCTCCCAGATTTTATTGCCTTTTGGGAGAGGCGCTTGCACTAAGCAACCTCTACCAGAGCAAAGAAAAGCAACCCCTCTGCCTGGCTCCTGCCAGCCCCCGCTGCAGCACCACCTTGCTGAGAAAGCAACAGCGCACACGACAGGGCTATCCACCAACCTCCTTCACAAACACGCGTGTCCTTCACTTTAGAAATCTAGCTCCACGTTGTTAAGCTTGTAATCCCCCCAGGAGCTCTAAAGCCCTGCTGTGGGTTGCCTCCCACAAGGGAGAGAGGATTTCTTCTGCTCCAGACCCTGTGTTTCCAAAACTGGAAGCAGAGACGGCCATTTGTCAAGCTGGACCCCTTCTCCAGGAGGACAGCAGGCTTCCCCTTCCAGGTGTACGAGCTCAGCAGGCAAACAGTGTCACAT